CGGCGGGCCTGTCATTCCACAAGTTTCGAAATTTTCAAAAAACACATAAGGGGGCCCTTATGTGATTTTTTTTCGATCAAAAATTTTTTTCGAGTTTTCTTGATATTTTTTGATCAAACAGACAAACAATCCAAAAACACAAAAAATAATGGAGAAAATTGTATTGAGAGCTCAGAATTCGCCTCAAAATGACAAAATTTTTGCTACCGGGCCTTGAAAATTTCCTTAAACTCGGGCCTGGCCCGGAATTTTACAAGTATGCTGAAGACAAAGAAAAAAAGAAACAATTTTTTCAAAATTAGATTTTGATACAGTTTGAAAGATTCTGCATTTTCGCGTAAGGTTACTTGCAGATGCGCTTCCGCCAAAATTAGCGGGTATCTTGAAAAATACTAAATACTCGATTCTAAATTTCTGTTTCTGTTTGCTTTAAAAAACAGAATTTTCTGACATCCTATAAAAATGAACGAAGATGCTCCGATGGATCTCGTCGACGATCGATTTGCTGATCAATCCATTCAAGATGAGCCTGTTGACGACGGCGAATCATTCTGTAATGAGTTTGCATGATGTTCTGATTTTCTATTAATATTTATAGATAACGAGGATGTATATGTAGATTGCGAAGAAGACGAAGATGATGATGTTGTACCCACCTCGGAGAATTTCCGCCTTGAAAATCGTTATAAGCCGAGTCTGCACACCCCTCGGGAGCTTCCTACGATTCGAGAGGAAAATCGCGAAGACGTGCGCTCAAATACAAGCTCTCGAGTGAATACTCGTCCTCCTAGCGTGTTGAGTGATAAATCAAACGACATTTCTAATATGTTCGGCTTTCAAGACGGAGGTAATGATATCAACGATTTTTTGTTTTGTTTGAGGGAATTCCGATTTGAATCTAAAGCCTAGATCTTTTAGGTCGAGCCATAGATCAATACACTGACCAATTTTACTCCGAAGGGAACAGAGCTGAACGATTGTTTCCTGAAGCTGGCTTTCTCCAAAACTCACCAGTCAGAGATAAACAAAATTCCTGGGAACCATCAGTGTGTCATTATGAGAAACAACCGACGCCTGAAGTGAAGAATAACTCGCCAGGTCTTGTTTTTGCAAACATGAGCTCGAAGAAAGATGTTACACGGAAGCAGGAAAACGTTCGACCTGGGAAAATGATGCCAGAAAAAGTCAACGATGAGAACGAACCGAAAAGTAGAAGGTTTTCTCCAGAGCGGAATACATTTACAACATCACCAATGAACTCAACAAAGTATCTTGAAGAGAAGACAAGTACTCCTAAGCGACGTAAGTTGCTCCGCTAGGCTCATCCATCTAAATATTTTTTTGAAATTTGCAGCAGGTGGAACGAATCGCCTTGGAACACGAGGTCTACCATCGTTCGAGTGCTCAACAATTTACGATATCAGTCCACAGCGCACTTCTGGTACACCGAAAACTTACGAATCTCGCCACCCGACAAACGCATACACACCTAATTCTGCGACTACTTCAGATACAGTTCTTTCAAATCGAACTATCGGAGATAATACTGTTCAGAATGTTCTTAAAGGTGTGGATATTAACCTTCTAACGGCGCTTGAAAACGCTCGCAAGAAACGAGATAGGCCTCAAGTGAAACCGGATTTCAGATTGTGAGTTTCAGTAAACTATAAAATTCGATACAAATTTTGTTTTACAGAAATTCGCTACCCCGGGGAAAGCTGTCTAGCACTCAGCGGCCGAAATCAGACGATCATTCTTCGATGACCTCGATTGTTTCCTCATCTACACAAAACAACACGGGCTATAGAAAAATTCAGGAGCAGCGTAACAGTGCAACGTCAACCGATCTTACCAATTCTAACACATCAAACTTCACGAACAACACTAGCAGAGTTTCGACCGCCAAAAATGATTTCAGTCGTTCCTCTCGGCAACGAAATGGATTCTCCGATTCTTCTGTGAGCACTATCATACCCAACATGAACTCAATGACGACAAGGGATCGAGATGGGCGAGATTCGGTTAGCTCAGTTCGTACAATCTCCCGCGCTTCTTCCACAATGACCGTTGGTGGAGGTAATGGTCATATGACTTCGGGAGCACCAAAACCACTGAGATTTCATGTCAGTAGGCTGGGATTTGGGTATGTACCAATAGGAGAGACATTGACAATGCAATTGGAAGTGGAGAATACAACGGATCGGCCGTGTAAAGTGAACGCAAGACTTGACAGTAAGATAACATGCTTCAAGGTTTTGGATAATGCGACAACGATGATCGATCCAAAAAAAGCTATAAAAGTTCGAGTAGCGTTCACACCAACATCCCTCGGTCGTTATTCTCTCTATCTGAAGGCCGAAGTAGCAGAACAGAATTTCACTCAAAAGGTTTTTTTTCTCTGAATGTCTTTACGAACTTTGGATATTTTGCAGATTCCAGTTTGGGGGTGGGGAGGTGTATCTAAAATTGCTCCTATCTCTGCCCGGAACCTACAACCTACGTCGAATTCATCCGAGTTCGCAATGTTTGTCTCTGACATGAAACGAATTGCATTCAAGCTAGGAAACAGTGGAGATCGGTTTGGTTTCTCCATTTGTAATATATTGCTGATTCACACATTTTTCAGGAGTGGATTCGCACTGTTGACAGTCTACGACTCTGCAATGCGGCAAGTTCCAAACAGCTATGTTCGTTTCAACCCATCTAACGGAATTGTCATTGGTAAAAACTACGAAAAACTGATTGAAATTCGAATCGATCCTTCATATCATGATCATTACGGTGAATTAACGAATAATCGAACTTCTTCTGCAATGTCGACAGTTTCTACCGCGTCTTCTATGGCTTCTCTTCGACGACGTGTTATTGCTGGATCAGATTTTTTTGTTCAAGTCGCATGGGGTGTAGAAGGTATAAGAGAACGACTTAGAATGTGAGTTTCTTCTAGAAATATTCTTCCATTCCACTGGAAAACGTTATTGCAGGCTTGAAATGAAGCATAAACGACGCCAAATGATAGATGGACTGGACTTCACTTCACATCCTTTCACTGATGAGAAATGCGTCGTATATCCTCCACCGGATGCTTATCCAACGATTTCAGATGAAGATCATGATCTATTCGCTGCGTCGTACAGCAATTTCTACATTAACATATTCTCTTCGCCGGATGGTCTCAATGCATTCCGTGCTGCTACCGTCAGTGCAGATAAATTCGATAACGACGCCACTGTTCTCGAAACATCTGCATTCCGGCACCAAACTTTTGTAAATGACGTCACGATGGTTCCAAGACATACGAAACTAATGTAGCAAACCAACATTTTCATTGATTCCACTGGAAAGCCTAATTCTTGTTTAAATCAAAAGATTATCGCCGTTTTTAGCTCACTGTGTAGTATATTCAATTAATTTTTCTTTCATTAGTGTCCATGTTATCGTGATATTTATCCATAAATGAATCCGATGCGCTTTAATTTGTATTTGAATAAGTTATAGCTAAATAGTACAAAATGAGATCATGTGTTTAACAACGATGTATCAGTTGGTTCGGCTGCTTCTTCTGCTTGTTCTTCTTGTTCATCTTCCGGTTTCTCAACAATCACAACATCTTCTTCGTCTTCACTCTCTTTCTGCTCGTTCTCGACTGTTTCTTCTTCTGATTCTTCGACGTCTTGATCCTCTCCCTCTGGCAACATGCACAACCGATGTCGTTTGCGAAGATAAAACTGCCACTGTAGAACAACTTGATCTTCGACAAATTTTGCACTTGGCCCTGCAAAAACAACCATTACAGGGGATGATTATGAATATGAAAAACCATACCATATGCCATCGCATCTCGGAACTGCTGACTTTGTAAAGCCTCGAGCATGTGCAGGCATTGAGGGAATTTCAAACATCTGGCGTACTGAGGATTCTTCCAGTAAAGCAAGTACTTCAGATAATTCACAAAGTATTCCTCTTTGAAGTATCCGCGTTGAGCCAGGACTAAATTTACAATTATGTTCAAATCTTGAATATTTGCCCTTACAGTTCAGATAATTCGGATTTGCCAGTGCTTGCACGAACTCACATTCTACCTCGAATCGGGTTTTTTCGCTTTCGGGAGTTTCCATTTGCATTTCTGCTTTTCTGCTTCCTGGAATTGTGAAGTTGTATTTCAAAATGTTCCAATGACGATGAAAAAGATATGGCAATGGTGTTCAACCAAAAAATAAAGATTTAATACATTCAAAACAGTCATTAGAACAACTTTATTCCAGGAATAAAACTAACAGATGCTTGAAACCTAGTGAAACTAAATAAACTGAGTATCTCGAAATTTAAAGAATTCAGAAGAGCCCGTATTTGGGTCCCGCGAAGAGCCACCGGAAGTAAAACAAAATATAACAGGAGGATATGGATTAGACTTAATCGAGGCCCGAATCGGTTGAATTGATTGAAACATGGCTTTTAGCCGGAGTAGCACGCATAGACAGTCGCCTAGCAACTTCGTCAACAGTCTGAAACATGAAATTTGAAATTCGACAGTCAAAAATGGAGGCCTTACATTTCTGATATTTCTTTTCGCCTGAATCTTCGCACTGGAATTCTTATCAGAAGCAGCCAAAATGCCAGTTGTATCGATGTTCATACCAGTCTGAAAACACACAATTGAATGACTTTTGAACAAAAATTCTGTATCCTTACATTTAAAACACGCGCAACTGATGTTGGTGTCACACTGACGGAGTTACTTGGCATTTGAGGTCTGTTCTTTTTGTTGACTGCCACAGATTCTTCCTCATGAGCACGATCTTCCGAGAGACAGAGAGCAAGTCGTTTGGTTTCATCTGTTACAGACTCGCGTGCTATTTGAAGACGCATGGGTTCAAGGAGGATAGTTCTCATGCGGGCCTGGAATTAAGAAAAACAGAATTCAGCGTTTGAGAGCATTCTGGGAACTTACATAAAACAGTGAATACTCAGTACTGTTAGTGACTTCCTCGGAGAGAGTGATATTCATTCGTCTACTTTCGTCGAGTTTTTCTCTGTCTTCGTTTGTAAACGTCGGTTGCTGTTCGAGAGAAACATCAACCGGATAAAAATGTTCTGCAGCTAGACGATTCAAACCGGCACGTGCCTTTTGGACCATTCTCATCATGTCTACAGACGCAGTCGTTGGTGGAAGTGTTGTTTTTGCGGGACAATGTATATCAGCTGAATCGAACATTTTCGATCCGATTCGATGAGCCCAATCAGCCACTTCTACTGACTTGTCTAACACCATCTGAATTTCACGATAAATTCATTTTAATGATTACCTTTTTACCTTTTCAGCGAAATTCTTAGCTTTTCTGGAAGCTTCAAAACGGTGTTCGGTCCAAAACTTTTTTCCCCATTCAACGTGATCATGTTGGCGAACTACAGTGCACAGACCCTCTACAAGGATCATTCTCTTCTCACTTTCCGAATCTTCTGGATTATATGTTATCAATGTTTCCGGATCAATCTTGATATTGACAGGGCGTACACGACATCCGATTTGGTCAACATTCTGAATTTAGGGATAACTAAAGTCAATATTTAAGAAATACGAAAACCTTTTTGAATTGTCTAGCCCTGTAGTAACGATCCATTGATTTGCTCTTCTCCAGCATATAACGAATGTCGCTGAAAAATTTCAAAATTAGTTCAGCAACTATTTAATTAATGATCCATCCCTTACACTTCACTAAGACGAAGAGATGAAAGAATTTCGCTGGACTTCAACTCTTTGTCGATTTCATCTACGTTTTGATGCTTTTTGACAATTTCGTTGATATGGTTTTCAACAGCTTTGTAACCAGGTGTACTCTTGAGAACGCGAATTCGAGCCGCAGCCTGAAAAAGCAAAATGTATTCAGAAAGATATTCAATTTGGTGACATACCGGAGCTTCGAGCTCATTGATCTCTTGAAAAACTCTTCTGGTGTCTCTCCAACATCTGGATTGTCCTTGGCAAGCTTTTCATAGATCTCTTTCATGATTGCATTCGGAATCTTCTCAGCTTCTTCCTTGTCTTCTTGATCCAGTTCGTCTTCTCCAGGCGCACGCCTACCCGATTTCATTGCATCGATAGCATTACATATGCCAGAAGCGAGCTAGAAAAAAACTGCGATATCTTTATGAATTACTAAGAAAGACGCACTCTCAATTTCGCAGCAATCAGCTGTAGATATCTTCTTCTTAGTTGTTTTGGAGTTTTCCTCGGAAGGATAGATTGACATTTCGCCCAATTTCCTTTGCCGAAAATTTTGATTGCATACAGAAGTTTGTCGTCTTCCATCAATGTAAAGCGTTCGTTAACATGAGCAGATCTATTCAAAACGTTCATCCATCTCTCACGACACTGTGAATCATTTCGATTCCGGACAGCTTGAGCAACTTTAGCCCAGTCTTTGGCTCCGTATCGAGAGATGGCACTGATGAGTAGCTGAAACACAGTCAAAAGTATAAATTATGTGCTTTGAAGAAATTGAACGCAGTGACTTACCACATCTTCTTGATCAGACCATCTTCCATGCTTGACAGACGAGTCGAGGCTATGCGAAAAACGAGTTCTGACTTGTTGACGCGTTCTTCCTGGCATGAATTGAGCAACTTTGTCCCATTGAATGTGTCCATTGATAGATGTGAGCTTAGTGAGAGCAATCAATTTTGTATCTTCGTCTTGTGTCCATTCTCTGAAATAAAAGGAACGTTTCTTGTCCTATTTTAGATGTGACACTGTTTCCCTTCCTGAAATAGCTCATACTTACTTTGAATGCTGGGAAACATCAGTTTTATACTTCTCCATGCATTGATAGGATGTACGATTGGTACCTAGATTGAGTGCAAGCATTTGCCACGAGACGAACTTCGGACTTTCTCGAAGAAACTTCAGTTTTTCAACTTCTTCTGTTGGCCATGGGCCCCTGTTCCACTTCGGATTCAACTCATTGCACCATTTTGCTCTTACAGCCCACTCTGTTCGAGTACCTTTGAACTAAAAAACAAATATTTTGAAAAAAAACAAACAAAAATAACGCTTACATCAACGTTAGCAACCGCGTTCCATGGAATAACTGAATAATCGGCAGACGCTGTCAGAACTTCTTCTTCGGGCTTTCCTTTGACGTATCCAATATTTCTCATCACATCTTCTAATTCCATTGTCCATTGACGTCTTTCTTTGTTTGTGGTAGTGATATCCGCATTTTTCAATTTCGATACTATGATGTCTCTTCGCGAGCATAAGGGCTGAACCTCATGAGCAACCATCGATTCTTTGACAGCAGTGCGGAGTGTTCTGATTTCAGAAGGCGTCCACTTTTTCTCTTCTTTCATCAATGGATCAAACCATTTGAGTTCTTGTTTTTCACGAGCTTCGGCACTCATCGGAGGGCACATGCCGTTCTCATCTTTGAAATATGGTGGCATATAAAGATGTACCGGAACTTTGCGCTTTGTGATATCCGCACGATTGTATTTGCGATGTTCTTCTTTCAACTGACTTTGTCTCATTTGATTATCGATCAGTTGTTGCTCTACAAGGGCGAGAGATGAATCAATGATTTCCGAATATGTTTCATTGTAGACAAGGAGATCTTCCAGATTACTGCAGTCAATTTGTTGTCCCCTCGTTAACCCATCGTCTTCAATCTGCAAGTATTTTTTCAATAGAGAAAAATGCAAGAGAATTGATTACTAACCTCGTACAGTGACGATTGTGTCACCCCTGCGTTGCTGGGGCTAGGTCCAGAGTCATCTCTAGGCTCCCATGACATAATTACTTGCTGAAATACATGAATAAGGTATTCTACAATTGCGTGAGTGTTTTTCTCAGAAAAAAAGAATTTTAAACAGGAAATCAAGGCAAAAACACAAGAACTGAATCTTTCCGCCAGGCTAGCCTGCGCAGGCTCGTAAATCGAGGGGGACTAAAAGTCTCTCCGTGAATACTAGTCCGCGCCCACAAAAATTAGCGGGAGTTTGAATTCGAGTTGTTCAGTCGAGAATAGATTTCTGACAGCATAGATAGAACGAAACATGCTAAAAATTGTTTTATTCATAGAAAGGAAAAGAATGCATTTAAAGTTATAAATATTTTATTCAACAAAAAAACATGTCGTAGTTCACCAAAGTCCTGGGAGAAGAGCCATTCTGTCATTAGGATACTGAGCGCCAAACTTCTTTTTATAACATTCATGATGCGATGCAGCTCTTGGAGCAATATTGCAAACTACGAAGAACGCAAAAGCGATTGCCGGAAAACTACGAGTTGAGATGGCATATCCGATCCATTGAAGACATTCTCCAAAGTAATTTGGACATGAGATATACTCAAACAGATGGCCGCGAGGGATACTATAGGTGTCATTAGGCAAGTTATATCGAAAAGAAATCAAGTGTAGATCCGAAATACAGTGAATTATAAACCCAATCTGAAAAGAAGTGTGTTTTTTTTGTAACAGAAGACATCATAATACCACAAAAAGCCATATTCCAAAGAAAACAAAAAATCTTGGATGGAATTTATCGATTTCGGGCTGATAATATGCATTCCAAGATCCTTGAATGAATCCATTAAATATGCAAAACAAGAACTTCATCAATACGATTTCAAAAGGAGTTTCATTCTTCGACCTAATCAGAAGTGGGTAGGCAAACGTACGATACGCATAATAAAACAGGAAGACACATGTCAAAAACTTTCCATATTCTGTCAAATGTTGATCCGTCCAGTAGAAGTAGAATGGAATGAAGAAAGCTGGTGATTCCTGAGTCATCCATGCCAATTTTGCAGGAATCATCGATTTTGATGGAGAGGGGTTACTGTATCTTCCGTATTCAGCTGGTTTCCCTGTGTTGGATAATGTTAGGAACACAAAAATTCCGCATGTAGTCATAAGCCAGGATCCGATAACGATTACGGCGTATAGCATTATTGAGTCAGTTTACAGATAAATGTGTATTCTTCTATTTATGTCTCAAGATTTCTTGAACAGCAGCTGACGTGTTACCTGCGTGGTGCCAATAATTGTTAGCCGCCTCACGTCTAAATATTTTCATTAAAAACAAGGTCAGAAATATCCAGTAGGTCAAATTATGAATGAGAAGTAGAACCGACACAAAATGAAACGTTTCATTGTCAGATTTTCAGAATTTCCGAGTCCCTAAAGTTACTGATTGTGAGTATTTAAAAACTTTCCAACTTCCCACAACTTCTGAAATTCTGAATTCTTGAGGTTTAGAATTTGCGAAATTCTGAATGTTTCAACTTTCGAACTTCAAGAGCTTAGGTTTTTTTAATTTCCGAATTTCCAAAACGTCTGAATTTCAAGATCACTAAAATTTTGAAATTCTGAAATCGAGCATTTCTGGACTTTTTGATATCACAAATTTTTGAATTCCTGAGTTTCAAGGTCTTTTGATTTCTGAAATTTGGAATTATCAAATTTATAATTCATCATTTCCTGAATTTCTAACGTTTAGAATTCGCTAAATTCCAAAATTTTGAATCTTTGAACTTCCATATCTCAGGGTTTTCAAATTTTTCGCTTTTCCCGAGTTTCTCAAATCTTCTCAACTTTGCGAGCGTCTGAATTTCAAGATCAATAAAATTTCCAAATTTTAAAATCCGGAATGTTTGAACTCCCGAATTTCTATATTTCTCGATGCCACAAATTTTTTTGAATTCCTGGCTGGGTTTCCTTAAATTTCTGAGTTCGAGTGTTTCTGAATTGACGATTTTCACAGAGATCAGTCCTAAATCGCATTTGAAATAGGCCCGAATAAAAAACTTAAGAAACTCGGAAATTCGAAAATTGGAAAAAAAAGAAATATTAGAAGTTCTTTTAGGACAAAAATTCCATAGTAAGAAGTAGATAAACCTTATCATAAGTGTTGAGATTGAAGATCACCAGACCCTATGTTCAAGTAAATAGAGCCAGTCGAACAATCAGATTAGCTTGGATTTGCTAATTTGCTACAAGATAAAATCTTTCACACATTTTTTCAAAACATTCTGTCTTCAGACACATGTCTTCATTTGATAATTTCTGCTTCTCCGCCCTTTAAAGATATAAAATCTGTGATCCTTTTCATTTAGCCGCCCGAAACAAATTCTTCACCAACCCGCAGTCCGCCTCAAATTGAAATCTCAGATTTCGATCTGCTAGATTTTACGAAGACGAAAGAGTTCAAGGACGGATTCATCTTACGAATAACCTAGTTTTCCCTTTACACCGGGATGAGAAAAGTTCATTATCGTATAAGACATTGTTTCATATTTTTTGGACTACTTATAATTATCTGTTTTGTCTCTCGTTTGTTTATTAGAGATATTCAGAATGTAAGTTACTACTTCTTTTTCTTCTTCTTTATCAACTGATCATCTTTTGGGTTTATCAGGATTCCAACACTAGCAAATTCCCATTATCAAGAGCATCGTCGTCTCGTCGATTGAATATTAGTGTTGTAATTGTTGTATCTGATATTGAAGACGCTGAAATAGAATACTCCACAGCGTTGAGATCAATTAGATGTTACTGTCAAATACATAATTACCCATTGCATTTTATTCAAGATTCGGATTACAGAGATGTTTGTCAACAGAAAGATGTAAGTGATTTATCGTAAGACCTGTAATAGAAGGGCCCCGCACATTTCGAAGTTGGAGCTCAATTATCTCAATTCCTATGAAAAATATCAAACATGTGTTAACTGAGAAAACACTTCTGAGTTCACCATGAAGAATTTATCAGTTGAAAACTTTTTGATATCTTTGATAGTAACCAAAATAAATTGGCTCCAATTTAAAAGTTAGGGGCCCTTTTATCAGAGGTTTGCGGTAAACAAATTTAAAAAGTGATTAATAACAATCAATTAAAATTTTTAGTTCATGTTCCGACGGCACTGCATTGTTGCTCAATTGCTCGAAAACATTGAATGGCTTGTATTCCTGGACGCAGATATAGCAGTTGTGAATCCGAAAGTGTGAGTTTGATTTTGTTTCAAAATACAGAGTGGCGCACAGTTATAAGGACCGGAAAAAGATATATCTCGAGACATAAACAACTTTAAAGCACGAAAATAAGTAGAAATATAATTTTACTTTTGATTAAAAGCTACTGAACGTTTCAAAGCGGTTCCTCAAGTCTAGGTATTGTTATGATTGTCCAAAGATGCATTTCGGTTTTCATGAGATGAAGCAACTCTGACAAGCGATAATTCAGCTCAAAGTTGATCAAATTAATTGAAAGTTTGCCAGTTTACTAATAAATCATTTGAATTTGCGCACCCCAAATTTAAACCCAGTACAACTCTTTCCTCAAATTTCTTGCAAACTGTAGTCCGGGTAACTATGCACCATCCTGTAGATGGTAGAGAAGAAACATACTCATTTCTTAGTCTCCTGGAAGAATACATCGACGAATCCTACGATTTAACATTCTATGATCGTTTTGTGAACTGGGAAGTTGCTGCTGGATCGTACATCGTTCATAACACTCAATGGGCAAAATCCTTCCTCCGAAATTTTGCCGACTTCGAATCACAACTTCCGAATAGCTTTCATGGAACCGATAATGGTGCTCTTCATGTAATCCTTCCTTGACAGTCACTGTACATCTTAATTTTAATTCCAGATTTATCTTCAGCAAACGTTTTATCCTCAACTTTCTGCAGAATCTCAAGTTTGCAGAAAAATATGGGAAAAAGCGGAAAACTATCAAGATTTATTCACATTTGAAGCATGTATTCGAACTGTGATGGGAGATGTTCATGAGTTTGATAAAGCCAGAATACTCAAAAAAGTTTAATGCCAAATGTATTTTCAAAAAACCAAAAATTGTTTTTCAGGGTACCGGATGGGTGAGGGATATTTGGTTGACTGATTCAAAGTGGAATCCTGAAAGGGATTTTATGCTCCACGGACTAAAGGATTCCAACGAAATTGTACTGAAACAAGGATTCATCATTAATAAGTAAAAAGTGAATTCTCAATGACAATTTGAACATTCAAGATTTTCAGAATCTTTGGAAATTTTAACTGGCGGTCCCCATTTTCATCAAAATTGAATTCAGAGAATTGCGCACCTTTCGAATTTGTAGAATGGGAGATGAATAAAAGTTTGATGGTGTCTCGAAAAGAAGTGGAAAAGTATTTAAAAAGCCAATTTGATGAAGTCGAACGGAGAAGATGGGACAGTTTATCAGCAGTTGCCGGTTATATTTGATCTCTATAGTTTTGCGGTTTCGGGTTATTTTCATCTTTTTTAAAACATGTTCCTGCACTTAAAAAATAAAACCTTTTTTATAAAAAATGTTGTTAGGCCCCTTTCATAATAAACTGATCAGTTTAACAGAAGTTTGTTCTTCTCCGGATTCTTCAACTCAAACAAACAGAAACCAGTTATCCGATGTCTCGTCAGACTGAAAAAAAGTAGATGATGAGATACACTGATATATACGTAATAATAAATGCTAAGAAGCCTTCATGAATCCCCTCCGGTGGATACTCGCTTTTTTCTGTCTTTCCGATAAATGTGAATCGGTGAAAAAGTGGTATTAGCCACGACGCGGCAATAATAATGAGCGGTGGGGCGGGCAGTGCTAACGACTACCAGTATTTAATGGAAGACTCCATCCAAATGAACCTCTTTATTCTACACAGTTTATACAAACACAATCGTTCAGTTTCTTAGAGAAGAAGCTACATTTTTCAGCAGTATGTGGTGTCGCTTCTTTCTGAAGGTTGGTTCTCTTTATCTCATACTTTTAAAACAGGAGATATAGGTCCTTCGCGGCCCTGCCATAATTTTTTCGAGAATCAATAAATTTAATCAACTAAATCTGATATGATAGAACTCTACAAGTACTACAAAATGATACTATTTGAAAATCTAAATATTGTCTATGAACAAAGTCATAAGCCATACCGATCCAGGGGGGACCGGGTGCTGCCCGTTTCGTCTGTACCTCTGTCCATAGACAAGATAGAATTCTATGGATATTTTTTGTAGTTATATAATATCCAATTTACTATTAGTCGGTGCAAAAATATTGATTCTAAGAGAGACTATGGCAAGGCTCGCTCAAAGCCCGGATTACAAGTATGCTTTATCTGAAAAGATTTTCATTTTTAAGCATTCACCTCTTCAAATTTCAGTTCATCCTATTCCTGTGTGTTTCATGTATTTCCACTGTATCCTCAAGTTTTGAAATTCAAAATGGTGTCGTTGGAAAGCCAGAAGTATTCTGTGGGATTGATACAATACGAGTAAAAATCAACACAGAGCATCCATTTAATGGCAAGTCCACTTCTTTTTTTTTCATTTCATACCGCCCATTTCTGCAGGAAGAATCTACGTGGATGGTGAATCCGATAAGCAGCATTGTGTGCAGCACTCTGCAGATTCTCACTCTTCACCTCAAGAATTCTCGATCCCGATTGGAGCATGTAACATGCGACGACAGAGGACTCTTCATCCACGTGGAATTTCATTTTCCTTCACAATGATCACATCGTTTCATCCGTTTTTCGTTACCGGAATGGATCGAGCATTCAGTATTCGATGCTTCTTCCTAGAATCAATAAAAGGTCTAAACGCTGAAATAGATGTTGGGTAGGTCACTAAAATTTTCATTCAACTCCTTGACAATAAATTCTTTTTCTTCAGAACTTTGGCTCCACAAAATGTAGATCAAGAGTATTCTCTCCCAGTTTGTGCGTATCATCTGAAAGACGGTATCGAAGGACACGTCTTGAGATTTGCTCAAGTTGGTCAAAAGGTGACACATGTTTGGAGATGCGATCAAGGTTTCATACCCATAACATGGTGTTAAACTTTAAATTTGTCTTTTTAGATGCCAGCCACGTCTACGGGATCCTTATCCATAGTTGCTTTGCAGATGATGGACACGGAAACAAATTTGAATTAGTAGATGATCGAGGGTTAGAAAACTTACATAATTTTCGGTTATCAGCAGCAAGAAATCACAAAAATTTCAGATGTTCCACTGATCCATTCCTTCTCCCACAGATTGAGTACGAATCCGGCGCAATATCTGCGTATACCAATGCTCAAGTATTCAAGTATGCAGATAAGGTTACTTTCGATAGGGTTTTTGATTAGTATATCAGTATCTACAGGTCCAATTGTATTTCACGTGCACCGTTCAACTTTGCTATAAACATGATGGTGGATGTGAAGGAATAACCCCACCATCCTGTTCGGGACACTCAATACATCCACCGAGAATTAGTGGATCCTCACCTGAACACAATTTCGTAAATTTGGGACCAGACAATCATGGACCAGATGTCCATCACGGTGGAAACAGTCTGAATTCTGAATCTCAATTCCATGAATCTGAATCAACACCACGGGTTCCTGGATACATCAAACCAGATGCTTTCCAACCAATCATTTTAGGACCACCTCATCCAACCGTTTTCCATAAAGATGGACCTAGTGGACCATCCCTTCATCACATTTCATCATTCAAAGGACCAAAAGATATTCAAAGGCTCAATGAGGAAGAAGATACTCCAAATCCATATCGTAGGGATAGTCCATTGAATGACACAACAGAAGATGATATTGTGATGCAAGTAGTCACATTGAGGAGTACTGTACCTACAGTATCGCATACACCAGATCTTGTCACATTCAAACCAGTTGTGACGGGTACAAAAGAAAAATTGATGAAGCAAATGAAGATGAGGACGAAGAGGAGGAGCTGATTACACCAAGAGTTTTCGGAAGAGGAAGTACAAGTCCAACGACAACAAAAGTTAGAAGAACAGCTGGAGAAATGGAAACTGATGTATCAGTTGATGTCATAGTGTTACCAGTTGAAGATAAAGAACGAAAAGGTTTTATTTTTTTCAGTGTGTGTTTTCCGAAAACGGCTAACATTGAAAAAAATGTCTCGAAAATCGTGTATTGAATTTTCGGAAGAATTTTCGAACATTCGTTCATTCATAAATTTTAAGAAATCTAGTTTGACAGTTCGAATAACTAAACTAGTCTCATTGCGTTTTAGGTCCTTTTAGCATGATGGTCTAGAAACATCAACTTGCATTTGTTAGGCCAACATATTAAATAACCTAGAAAATATATAGGTGCATGTCAGACCATTTCTGGAACATCAACCACGGTGGCCTAGAAAAATCAATTTTAGGAAATTAGCCCACCATGATAAATGTCCCAGTAATACCCGATGGTGTGTTTTCTAGGCCATTTACAATGATGACCTAGAAATCTCAACTTGCATTTGTTAGGCCAATATGTTAAATGACCTAGAAAACACATATGAGATGCATGTTAGACCATTTTTGGACCATCAACTGCGGTGGGCTAGAAAAATCATGTTGAGAAAGTTAGGTCACTCCTTCCCTCCCATGAAACCCGAGTTTGTGGTTTTCGAAATCGATCGAAAAAAGGAATTTCGTTTTAAAGTTTTCGAAAAAAAATAACGAAAATCACGAACTGTTCTCAATTTTCTGTTTCAGACCATACAACATTCAATTTTTCCAGACACAAACAGTCCACCCCAATCTCTTTCATTCAAGTCAGCATCTGAAGTTTGTCTCTCTAAAACCGCATCAGTTATCTTCGGCACTGCCGTCCTTCTTGCACTATTCTGCTGTGTTACTGTAACATTCTTGGTGACACGTAAACGAAATCATCAACTCTTACATCATGCATCTAAACGACGAATCGACAATTTCTAGACCCCATTTGAAACGTTATATTATTATCCATTTCTTTCCTGTCTGTCTGTATATTTCTGATCTTTTCCTCCTCCTCCTCCTCCTCCTCCTCCTCCTCCTCCTGTCTTCAGGTTCTCATTTCTTCCCCTTTTTTACCATCTTCCCCATCCAAAGCTCAATTATTTGTCAACTGTGCCTTCAATTTACTCACAAACAAAATACCAAACACAATTTTAATAATACATCTTCATTTTTTTTCAAATATCAGTTCTGATTGAGTTCCGGATGATTGGGTACTGCCAGTTTCAGAGGCACTTCGGACCAGTAGAATGGTTTAACCACGTATAAACTTTTGGTAAGTGGCAAAACCGGCGAATCGAGAATGTGAGCCTGAAAGATTTTTAAATTAAGAAAAATACATTTTGAAAAGTGTATACATCGCCCTGTTTGAGTGAGATGAAGCTCATCTGACACGTTGGCTTCTTCGTGCTTCTCAGAATATCGTCGACCGTTTCAAAACGAATATTTTGAGTCATATCAACAACCACGTTATCAGCAACCACAACCACATATCTGGAAAATGCCTATCAGAGCTTCTAGCTATGTTGCTTACTTCTGCTCAATTTTTGCGATTTTTTCTTTGTAGAAAGAACGAATACGCAGATTGTAGTCTTCAATGTTTTCAGAAGGAAAGAAACCTTGAATTGGTTCGTACTGATTGTTGATTGGATATCCCATTCCAAAATACTAAAAAATTCCTATTCAAAAACACTTTGTAAAAGTCCAAAAAGTTCAATAGTACCGTCTTGGGAGAGAGTATCATTTCATGATAATTGGGAGGCAACATTTGACGATAACCCATAAGTGCTGGTTCAATGTTTATCTGGAAAGTTAAATTACAGTAAGAATTGAAAAATAGTGAGGGAATATTGACTCACTGCTGAAAACGACAACCCGAGTCCTTTCACCAACGCAGCCGCTGTTTGCACTGATTTCATATCTGGTGAACAGAAAATTTCATATGGACGAACTCCAATTGAGGTCAATCCACGACCGTAGGTTTCAGCTACAATTTGTCCACGTTCGGTAAGTGGAGAATCAAATTTGTAGTGGAGTGGCTGGCGTGGGATTAGTTTAGGTGGCATGTTCATATCATATGGTTGATATTCCATTGGACCACGACGATAGCAAATACGAACCCAGTTCGGGAAAATCAGACCCATCGATTCAGCGTGCGACACTGAAAAACGAATTTCAGAAACTTTTCGCCATTTTTCCTCTCTCTACTGGTAACTATTGTCAGCTCACGAGACGGTTGCTCAACTTGCGAGAGTACGGTCAGAAACTTTTCTTCAGATCTTGGATTTTCTTGACCTGTATAGGTTGAAGCACCGATCGAGCCTAAAAAGTCAATATAACCGCTGCTTCACAGATCTTCTGATCTTACTAGTACTATCTCTTCTTTTTCCATTTTCAGCTGGTAGTTTCAATGGAGCGACACTCATTGTACGACTAAAACTTGTGAGGTAAATGAAATTAAAATTTATTATACACAAAAAAAATTTCTGGAATTTATAGACTCGTGTTGAACGGAGCATCCACTAAAATAACGTGAAATTACAAACTCTGTGAGGTTAAGCTGTGGTGTCAACGTCTAGGTAAGAAAAAGGAAACCACAACTAACCGATAGATCCAGTGACTTCAGTTCGAAGTTACGAAGGAAAAAGAGAAGGTTGTGCCTCCGGTGCTCGTACAAGAATGCTCGTGCCATTGACTGCTATCGTGACGACATCGTTGCCCATGGCCGCTGCCATTGCACTTTGTGCCAAGGATCGCAAGACGGTAATGCATTGAAATATCTGTTTCATAAGCTAGAGTTCATCAATTTTCAGACTCATGTAAAGAACAAGGGTAAGAGTGCCAAATCGACAAGATCGTCGAAATCTGCTCATGGAAAGAGCTCGAAAAGTGGAAAATCGTCGAGATCTCATCGTTCCAAGAGCCAACGCTCAAAGAGATCATCCAAGTCTGGAAAGAAAGGAAAGTCCTCGAAATCCGGCAAGGGAGGAAAGTCTGGAAAGTCAAAGAAGTCTGGAAAATCCAGCAAGTCAAAGAAACAGGTCAAGGAGGGAGCAACAACATCCGCATCTGCTGCTTCTGCAGGATCTGCCGCATCGGAGAAGTCGACCAAGTCATCAAAGTCGTCTCGTAAGAGTTCTAAGAGCTCGAAGAGTCGCAAAGCGCGTCGTCTTGATTCGGATGCTCAGTACAAGATGGAGAAGTCTGGAAAGAGTTCGAAGAACTCGGCTGCTTGTGCTGCTGCTCCAAAACCGGTAAGCAAAGTTATGAATTGCTCATTTCCAATTGTTGTTTGTAAGCAGTCGACCGGCGGAAAGCAGATGGAGAAGTCGTTGGTTGAAGAGGTCAACGCCATCAAGCACTCCAATCAGTTGAGTGTTTTCCCAGCAAAACTTCAATACCAAACATTGGGAGGAGTTAGCCAAATTGAGTTGAAGAACACTTCTGGAGAACGCAAGGCCTATAAGCTCAAATGCTCGGACAATGCGCTCTATCGTGTCAACCCAGTTTTTGGATTTGCTGAGCCACATTCAACTGCCAAGATTGATGTTTTGAGACTTAACGGAGAGCAAAAAACTGACAAACTTGTTTTCTTGACAACTAATGTGAATTTAAATGTTGAAAATATATGCTCTTTATTTTATTTCAGGCCAAAGATGCTGCTGACCCACATGAGGCATTTGCCAAACAAACGGAGCAACGCGAGATGATGGTTGTCCCATTGGTTGCTGCCTGAAGCCAACAAACTTAAAACCTCTTTTTTCCACCTTTCTGAAAGGTTGTACTGTGTTCTTTAATAAAAAGATTTTTGGTGTCTTATTCTCAATGGGTATGTTTTTATGATATCACTAGACTCGATATGCGAATTTTCTAGATTTGTCTTCAGGTGATGTTCTTATGATAAACTTGTTTTGGGTGAAAACTTTAAAAATATAAAAACATCTAGTTGAGTATAAAAATACCACTAACTAGGTTCGAATTTTTAAAAATCAGCTAAATATGAATTTCGGTTTTCTCATAGTTCTGATGATGGCGGTTGTCGGTGAGTTTCTTTTTTTCATTCTAAAAGTTTTCGAAAATGTGAAAATCCAATTTCCAGGTGCTCTCGGCGGATGGTCCCATTCATTTTCTCATTCTCATGAATTCCACGGACATCATCACGGAGGGCTTCTCGGAGGAGGCGGATTCAATCCGTATGGAGGATACTATCAATCCAGTTATTGGGGAAGAAAGAAGTAGGGATTGAGATGAAGTCGTTCGATGGAATATCTACAAGATAATATGATTTTATTCATTTATATCGTAAAGTATGTATAAAAATGTATTTGAACTTCGTATCATATAAACTATTCATTATTCATCTGGTGTCTAGATAAAACAGGTTTCCTCATAATGTGACAATCAAAATCCAAAGTACAAAATTTAAACATATATTTGAGAAAGTTCAATTTTCAAATTGTTTGCTACAGTTTGTTTTTCCCACATCTCTGAAACAAAATTATTTTTGGTCACATTCTTTTTTTCTCCTACTGCATGATGTCATTTTCTAACTCGTCCCAGTCTGTTTCTGATTCTGATTTGAAGTCTCATCGTATTCTCTAGTCTTTAGGCTTGCGTATCAATTGATGTCACAGTATTTGATGTCACAGTATCGTCTGATCAAAGAAGCTGATGTGTTTGGCGAAAACAGATATACACTAATTGGAATATAAAAGAACAGATTCGAAGGATAGTGACAGCTAAAAAAATATGTTGAACCAACAACGATTCTACGTACTTCTCCTTGTTCTTCTTCTTGCTGTTGGTAAGTTTCCAAGCCTTCTTCTATGTAATCTCTCTTCAAACGTTCAGTGACATATGCTCATTCCTACTCACATTCTTATTCACATTCTCATGAACATCACCACCACCACCATCACGGAGGATATTACGGAGGAGGAGGATACGGATATCAACCATATGGATATGGATACCGTAACAATGGATACGGGAATAATGGATACAATGGCTACTATCAGCAAAACTATTGGGGACGAAAGAAGTAAAATAGGTTACTGTGGATTAGGAACTCCATCAATGACGACTGGATTCGATTTTTTTAACTATGTATTTGAATCTGGAAATGAAATTTTTTAATTGGTTTTTCAAATGTTTAAAAATCGGCAATTTTACAATGGTGTGAGCCATTACAGTTTACTCTAAACACTAATGCAAAATAACACCTCCCCCCTCCCATCCAAACCGTCATCTTTGAGCCCATATATCTCGGTTCCTATGAAAGATATGAGAAAGTGGTAAACTGATAAAATGTTGCTTATATTATGATAAACATCTTGTCAATAGACCTATTTTTGATAACTTTTACAGAAATTGAGATGCAATGGCTCAAAGTTGACGGGTTGGGTGAGTGGCGTTCTATTAGAGTGTTCACGGTAGCTTTTTCGGTTGTATGAATAAAGAGAGAAGCTGGAGAACCGTCAACGTTTTCAGTTCCGGAAAAAACAACTATATTATCATTCTGGGACAGAAAAATCGAAGCTGTCGAAGAGAAACACCGGTGGCACTGGCCGCAGGTTCCACTACGACAACTACCGTAACACAAAATGTTTTTATTTTCTGAGTTTCTTTCTCGATATGATAAAATTGGCCTTGAGAAGGCTCTCAACCGAATCCTGCTGTCTCCTGGCAAACAATAATAGAAAATTCGGCAAAAGGTTACGAGAAAACAAATTCGGAAAATAAAAAATGTCTTTAGGTTGCGGTAGTTGTCGTTGTGGAACCTTCAGCCACGATCAATGGCGTTTATCTTCCATAGCTCCAATTTTTCATATCATAATACAAGTCTAACTTTATTCTATGCCGACTACGTTGGTTTGTGAAATCACCACAGAAAAGCAGGAATTTCTGTCGTTTTGTGCTGATAATCCTTTTACCTCGTGTACCCATAAAACTAATCTCCGTTGTCCTTCCATCTTCTGAAAAGATCTTCAGAACCCATAAAAAGTAATGTTTTCCGGTCCCCCTTTTTCGTTGAAAAACCACACAAAAAAGAATAGAACAAGGCGTCAAAATCAGAAGGAAAAAAATGTGGCGCCTTTTTCCTGCCGAAAGAAGAGTGTCTTTTTGCTTCTTCATCTTTTCTGTATAATGGGTGAGGGGACCAAGAGCGAGAAGTTGTAGAAAAAAGGAAAGGAGGAACAACATTTATAAGAATGCTCGAGGAGCACCACATCTTCTTTTTTGCTTGCTCCTGCCAACTCTTCGTTTTTCTTTGTCTTCCGGGGTCCTTTGCCATCTCCTGGGACCGCCAGGCTTTCTAAAACTAACAGACTCTCTATATATTCATAACTTTCTTTCTGCTCATCCTTTTTTTGTTTAGCCGTTTGCATATCAATCCTCCTGATCCGGACCGAACCCCATAATTTGGTCCGTGTGTTCCTTCTTTTTTCTTTGTCTCCTACCAAGCCATCACAATTTTTTCCTTTCCCCTTTTTCTAAAACATGACTCCCGTTGGAAGAAAAAGGAAGAAGGAGGAGCTAACCCGATTTGGGAAAAAAGAAGTCAGTGCTCCAAAACGCAAGCACTAACAAGGTTCAGCATTCCTGGGAGGCTGTTATTTTTGAAATATTATAGACAAACCCACCACCAAACAAACTCCTTCAATATGAGATTCTTCAAGACCAAAGGTTAGAATTTTAATATATTTTTTGAAAAATCTGTCTCATTTGTCAGTCATAGTATTTTTATTATAAAAGTGTTACATAATTCATCGTAAACCAGGTAGTAACCCAATCCTCGCATTATCCCTTGAAGATTGGAATCTTGTAAACTTCTGAACTCTTATTTAACTTGGATCTTTGTGAGTGCTTCTTAATAATTTGGTTTTTGAACTGCAAAAATTGTTTCGGTTTCCTTAAGACATTGGGTTTTCAGGAACTAGTGTATCTTAAACAAACCATTATCCTCATGAGTATTCCTTTTTTCAAGAAATCGGGTTCCCAAAAAACTTCCCGAGAAAATAAAGGAATTTGGTTTTTCAATTAATTTTTGCCTGTTATTCTCAATTTATGTGGGGACTTGTGAATATATTTACGTTTCTGAAAAGTGTCCAATGAATTACCTTGAAAACCTTACCTTGAATTACCTTGAAAAACTATTAAAAACGAAGAAGTGGTTTAAAATTTGTGAAATCTGGAGAAATAATTACTGGAAAATTTCCCGTTTTTCCCAAATTTTCCCGAACGATTTTTTTCGGGAACATTCCGGTCGGGAAAAATTCTCGGAACTTTTCGGGAAAACAGGGAAAACGGGATTCCCAATTTCCCGATTTGAACAAGTCTACGCACGACTATCAAAATTACGGCACCTCACAGGACCAATCATTCCAATCAGTTATCTCGGTTCTTCAAAAACATAAGCCAATGTACGAATAATTGACCCCTTTTTTACAAATATTGCACCTCATCTATATTCTTTCAGATTAATATTTTTTACCCAGACTTCAAGTTTTTTTTCTATAGATAATTCAAGCGTCAGAATCCATCGAGATTTTCTTTTCTTTTTTTTCAAAGTTTTCTAAAGAAAAAGAGCAGTAGAATAGTAGAATAAAGAAGATACCTGGTGTGAGGTGGGGGTGGCCCAAAATCTATTGTCTTTATTTCTTTTTTTTTTGTCTTTTGCGCCTTTTCCGACTTCCTTACTTTTATATTTTCCATCTCAACTATGCGGAAAAACGCGAGGTTTTCTTGAATTACTCCTCAGAAAATAGTTGTTATTTTCATTCGAACCACATTCAACAATTAGTTCAATTTTTCTGCAAAAACTATAGCCACAGCGAACTTTCAAGGTTTTTCTATTTTTCCGTTTTTGCCTTATAGTCATTCCATAAATCGTATTGGTCGCCGGTTTCCCGTCAGTCATTTCCTTTGAATTGGCCCCAATTTTTTTCGATGCTTCCGATTTTTTACTCAAAAAGTTGGTCCATTGAAATACCTATTTCTGAAGGGACGAATTTTTGCTGTTTTGATTGTGGATTTTTCAATTTCCACTATGGGTTATATACGTTTTGAATGTAGTCCAAACTATGTTGCAAAGATACATTCAATTAGTCGAAACGCAAAATTTTTAGAAAAAATGGACCACTTTTTTTCGCGCAGGGTTTTTTCTTGTTTCTTTATGCTTGAGAAGACAAAAAATGACAACGTTCCTCGACACTTTTGATTTGATTTCCGTAGTTATCCTCCGACTTTTCCTGTTTTCTGTTTTTCTTTCTGAGAAAAAAATAACTAAAGCAACTTCACACTTTTCAAAAAATATATGAACAACACTGAGACTTACCTAAAGTAAAAAAAATATTTTTAACTTCCCTTCTTTCCAAAAGACCAAAGTTTCCTTCGGCTTCTTCTATTTTTACTGTTTTGAAATTTCCCTTTCATCTTCTTCTCCTTCCCACTCTAGTATTTCAATTTCATCGCACTCCATAATTTTCGTCACTCGGAATTTTTCTCCAATATCCATAAAAGCTTCCAGATTCTCCCACCCCTACTTTGCCTATCGAACAAAAAAAAACAATGAAGCAAAGTATAAGATGACTGAAAATGAAGTGTTTTCACATCGTAGTATTTCTGATCTTTCACTTGCTCCTAGCACAATTGCATGTGGAAGCTCTTAGTTGGGCTGCATGGAGTCCCTGGAGTTCATGTACAAAAACGGTTGGTTTCGGATGTAAACCAGAAAAAAGGTAAAATTTAATTCCATTTAGTGTGGCGGTGGAGTTTCAAGACAGCTTCGTCGATGTCTCACTTCGAAATGCTCAGGAGAATCGGTTCGATTCAAAGTTTGTGCTCAAAAGACATGCGAGTCAAAATCTAGATTAGCTAGGGATACGATTTGTGGAGGAGAGGAGATGGTGTCAAGACAACAGGTTTATTTTCCCCACCGAAAGTTTAAAAATCATGGTGTTGATTTCAGTGCGAAGTAGTGTGTCGATCCAGAGTGACAGGAGCCAATTTCTTATGGAGAGTTGATGACGGAACACCCTGTCAAGCAGCTACTAGTAGAGCAGTCTGTAGCAAAGGAGCTTGTCAGGTGAGGGTCTTTTAGAAAGAATACCGTAAAACCTGTTATAGAAGAGCCCCCTAACTTTTAAGTATGTTTTAATAAGTAGTTGTCAACGGATATATTGTTTATCATAATATCAGAAGTGTCTCAAATATCAGTTCACAACTTTTTGATATTTTACATAGAAGTATAGATAATTGAGCTCAAACTTGAACAAAATGTATTTTGCCGTTCAAGCGCACCTTTTCGTCCATCCTCGTTTTTTACAAATTTTGAGTCAACTTTAATTTTTTCTTAAAGCTTATTTTTATTGATTTTGTGTCTTAACTCTTTAAAATATGTAATTTTAAATAATTTTCAACAATGGTATTATAAAATGGTCGAAATGTGCTAAACACTTCAAAAATGTGTTCGAAATGGATAGTTGAAATAGTCATAGTACTTATTATACTATATCATAGTTATTATCATAGTTGCGATTGGCCGGGAATTGACAAGTTGGTCACGGCCTGGCCCGGGAGGCTCACGAGGCCCGGCTCTTGTTTTCCACATCTTTCACGCAAAAACCAAAATAATAAGTAAAACAAAAAAAAGACGACTCCCAGAGTCGAACCCACAAGCATTACTATTAGCCTTTGACCGACAATCCGACCACAGGCAAGGCGCGACTGGCGGATAACGGCTAGTTGAAAAAATCTTTGGGTTTTTTCAAGTTCAATTTTCATGAAGTTTGAAGTTTGCGAAAACATATTAGGTTGTTCGGAAAGTCCTTTCCATTTTTAGCGTCAGATTCATTCGATATAAAAAAAGTCAAAACGATGTCAGATAAATTAAAGATAATGACCATTGTTATCAGTGACTATCTGCCAACGTCCCACCAAATTGTGGATGCCTTCCTTCCAGAACTCCGGTCACAGCGCATTGAAAATCAGGCCAACCCATTTTTGACATCATGCTTTGAAGTGAATTTTTTTTCAATCAAGATGTCGGTAGAAATGGTTGGATAGGGGGTAGTCAGACAGTACAAGGTTTGGACTATACTGTAGATAAGACAGAACCGTTTAGCCGTATCGAGTGAGATCGGTCTCCGTTCTCCTTCCCGCATGAGGTTGCGAATTTCGATTTTGAAAATAAACCGTTGTGTTTCCTCCAATGGAGATCCACATGAGAGATCCGATCCTCCAATGGAGATCCACATGATTTATGTCACCTGACAAAAATAGGTATCGGTCATAAAAGTGACACCATTATCTGGCAGCTCCCAATACTCCACTCCTTGGTAGACATCCATGCCAAAAACATCCAATTTTTAACGTTAATTTCACGTTTCGGGACGTCTGGTGGTTGAGTGCCTTTGTCAACCCACTTGGATTGTTGTTTATAGTAATCATACATTACCCATTTATCGCCACTAGTAATGATTTAACTTCAACATTCATGTGTGCAACGCAGGATGAGAAGATTCAAACAGGTGCCCACACATGAAACAAAGTTGCTTTGAGCGAAAAGGTGTGATCCATATCTTCCCACTTTTTTTACTTTGCCGAGAGTTCCCAATTTATGGCTTTTTGACGAAAGGCTTGCCACTGATGTACTTGATATATCCCGCACAGTTTGAGACGGATCCCTTTCAATCCCGGTTTTTAATGCGTCCAAATCTGAGCCCGTATGCTTTTTTGGAGGGGGATTTTCGTGCAACGAGAATTTTCATATTTCAAATTGATGAACCCAGGTTGTGAAGTTTGTTCGAAAGGGTGCATCTTCGTTGTTAACCTCCACAAATTGGTGATTAATTTCAGTTGATCTGAGGTCAGATAGAAATACAAATAAAATGGTAGTCCAAAAATGGAAATTATTAGAGGCGAAAACGGTGGGCATATCTCACTGCACGAAAAGAGGAGAATGATCTCCGTTGGGGTGTAGACACTATTAGGCCTCACCAGCATACTGATAAAACGACAACTTCCTCGCTCTTACCCCCTGAAAGAAAACGAAGTTTGAAAACAACATATAAGACGGTAGAAATTTGAAGAATTTTTTTCTCATTTCTGAAAACCGGAATTTCTCAAATTTTATGTACAAAAAGAACAGAGTTAATAGAAAAAACAAAAGTTTTTCGAAAAGTTTGTCTTTTCGACAAATTTCGTCCAGTTTCGTCTTGCCTTTTTATTATTCAGAAATTCTCTGTATGAATATTCCAGAAATTAGTCAAAGTTATAGAAAACGTTTATTTGATGGATCTGAAAATAATCTTGAACAAAAAAATAGGTGGACAAATTGTAATGCATTTTGTGCGCCACCCTGTATAACACAAATCTAAAAAGAAAGGAAATTCTAAAAAGTCAGAGAATTCTTGTAAATTAACACCTATGTTTAAAATCCGGAATAAAAAATTTTCTCGGAATCCGGATGAATGAAAAATTTCCGGAATCCGGACAAAAACATTTTTACGGAATCTGGAATCCAGAATGAAAAAATGGACAGAATCCGGAATCCGGATTCCGGACCCCTCTGCCAAGAAAGTCAAGCGCAATATTTCGCCAATGTCGATCTATTTCGACCACATTTTTGAAGTGTTTAGCGCATATCTTTTTACCATTTTTGAAAATTGATTAAAATGACTTTTTTGAAGAGTTAAGACACAAAATCAATGAAAATGAGCCTTAAAATGGTTCAAAATGTGAAAAAATGAGGATGGGCGAAAAGTGCGCTAGGACGGCAAAACACATATTATTCAAGTTTGAGCTCAATTATCTCTATTGCTTTGTAAGCTATCACAAACATAAACTGATAAAACACTTATGATTCTATAATAAAACATTTATCATTGGATAACTTTTTGATACTTTAGACAGAAACCGAAAAATTTGAACAGTTAAAAGTTAGGGCGCTCTTCTATAACAGGCTCTTTTGGTCACACGGTACACTGTCTTTTCAGATTGTTGGATGTGACGGTTTAATTGGTTCTTCATTCCGTTTCGACGCCTGTGGTGTCTGTGGCGGACGGGGTGATACTTGTGACAACGGGAAATTCGTCTGGAAAGTTTCAGGTATTCTCAATGTCCATAGTTACTATAGCTTTGAAATATAGAAGAATACACTGCGTGTGCATCAAACTGTGATGATATTGTGGATTGGGCAGGGGCTGGTCGATCGATTGCTTCCACAAGTCAACCGATAGTTGTATGTGTGAATGCAGTCAGCGGAAGGGTTGTTCCAGAAAGATTATGCGCTGATAAATTGAGACCGAAAGTTGAAGCAAGACCGTGTCCGATGCTGATTTGTCCTTCGAGGTTTGAAATATTCTTGACCTATGAGGATTGCTTTTTATGCATAGATAGAAGTTGAAGTTTTAATTTCAATTGCCAGTTAAGCAGTTCAAAATTGATATCAAATACCGTAAAACCTGTAGCAGCTCAATTATCTCGGCTCCTAAAAACGTATATAAAAGTTTTCATTTAATACAATATTTTCTATATTATGGTAAACAATTTATCAGTTGACAACTTTTTACTATTTTTTACGGAAACCGAGATAAATTGTCTATGCCATTCTGTTACAGGTTTTACGGCAACTGTTGAAGATTGAAAAACTTTTTTTCCTTGTTTGGATTTTGCATACCTATCACCAAATTTCTGTCATAGTATGAACCACAAAGCTTAATCAGTTTCAATCATGATCAGCTCCTTTTCAGATGCCGGTGAGTTATTTTTATGTTTCCTGGAAGCGTTGGTGGTAAGCTCAAAAATGTGTGCCCCATAAGAATGAAGGGGATGATTGATTGTTTCTTTCATTATTATTTTTTCTTATTTAATATACTTTCTTATTATCATTAAAACTCACGAAACATCTCAAAAACTTGAGATCCTTGAAGAATGGTTATGTTGTTTATCACTTCTATTTTAAACACAAATGATAATGTTTTCTATGCTTTTTAGATGCTGTGATCACTTTTCTTCTCGTTTCTGAGCTCCAAAAAATAAATTGAATTTCAGATGGATGGCTGCTGACTGGACAGAATGCGTTCCTCATTGTGGATCAGGAACCAAGAGAAGAGAAGTTTATTGTGTACAGACGGCTCATAATATAACAGTTCATGTCCCCGATTCATTTTGTGAAAATGGAACCAGACCGGTTTGTAAAAACTCAGAGATCTAGCCTAAGAAGTATTTTGATTCAGGTAGCGGAGGAAAACTGTGTTTCAACATCTTGCGGTCGATGGGAAGCTGGAAAATGGTCGAAATGCACAGCTTCTTGTGGACAGGGTGTACGTCGTCGCCACGTGGCATGTGTTGGTGGATCAGATTGTGATGAAGGTGGAAGACCGAGACAAGAGACAACTTGCTATTCTGGTATACCTTGTGGTCTAGCAGCTAATAGGTGAGATTTGGGAAGAGACATGGGACATAAGGAAGTGCTCATTTTGCGGCATTGTTTTTGAGAACTTGGTAAACTTGCACGTTTGTGGCTTTCCTAAAATTTATAGAATTTATTGAAAATCCCTCTGAAAACCGTATTTCATGCTTTTTCAAGACCACAGAATAGAGATAGAACTTAATTTTCCTCACATTGGACCACCTGACAAAATACCGTAAACACTATAATAGAAAGCCCCCAAATTGTCAACTTTGAGCCTGTATCTCGGTTTGTATAAAATATATCTCGGTTTGTATAAAATACATTTGAAAAAAGAGGTCGATAGACAAAGTATTTTCGATATTATGATAACATTTTGTCAGTTGACCACGTTTTGATATATTTTACAGGAAATGAGATATACAGTGCGTAACATAAGTATAGGGCCACCCCAAAATCTAGCTAATATTTTTTAAATCGCAATTTTTTGAAAATCTAAAAGCAGAATCGTGATCAGCATCGAAAATTACCCCAGGAAAATGATTTTGGTAATTTTATTCATAAACTGACCGGATGCCGGAACAAAAGCTAAAAAATCGGCTTCTGCAAGCGTAACATAAGTATAGGGCCACTTTGGGAATTAGTGGCTGGGTACCCGAAAAACGTGAATCCGGTCAACCAAAAATCATATTTTAAGTAGCCTGTCACTATTCAAATCATTATTTCCAAAAATTACTTTGTCTGGGTCCGTCAGATGGGTGCCAACCGCTGTTTTAGGCCATTTTCAGTTGAACCGTCTGGATTATCAGCTGGAAGATCAGAAGTTCATACTAGAGAATCTCTAGGGCCTCAATATCAGTCCAGTAGACATTTCCTAGGTTCACTAACTTTTTCGGGCTCATATGAAGTACCCAACCGTGTTTCCGGAACCATGAAAGAGCCAAGAAACTTGCGAGTACACAAATTCTGGCAGTCAGCAGCCCCAGGCATCATGGTTGATAACCGAAACTGAGAAAGCAAGGGGATAACGGATACAGCTAAACGGGTGTAAGTCATCAGCATGCATTTTAGCCGGTGGAAAACCGTTGATGGGACAGGGAGAAGCTTCAAATACCGCAGGAAAACCTTATCCTGAAGCAAAGCTTAATGGCCCTCTTACAAATTAGGGATAGAGTTTCCGGCGATACAGTTTGCTGATTGATCGTTTGGACATGTTTTATTACAGTTGCCAAGTCTGACTGCATAACCGGAACATCCTCATGCGCTTTATTTCGAGTTTTTAAGACGGTTGTTGTTATTTTCTCCAAACATTGGTTGTCTTGTGGTATTTGAAGCTTCTCCCTGTCCCATCAGCGGTTTTTCACCGGCTAAAATGCATGCTGATGAATTACACCTGTTTAGCTGTATCCGTTATCCCCCTTGCCAAAGTAATTTTTGGAAATTATGATTTGAATAGTGACAGGCTACTTAAAATATGATTTTTGGTTGACCGGGTTCACGTTTTTCGGGTGCCCAGCCACTAATTTCNCAAAGTGGCCCCTAATATTTTAGGGGGAAGGAAAGTAACTGTCCATTTTTTTATTCGTTAATAACACAAAGACAAGAACCATCCAAGATTGACAGTATGCGCCGTCGGGGTCCACGTCATGTTGACAACATTCAGGCAACTTGTGGATACCATACCTCCAAAAGCCAGCTGGCAGTGAATCAAAGTATACCTTCCCGGACGTTTTTTTCTCATCGACAGTGTAAAGTTATTTTTCCTCCAGATGACGTTGAATAGCTCCGAATAGCCAATAATAAAAGGGTCAAGTCTGGAGCTTAAGGAAAGTGAAGAGCCGTCCATCCAAAGCGTCTTAGGACTGAATTGAGTTTCATCAAATAACTCGAGAGCCTATGTTCCACGGCAAGTCAAGTAAGACCTGGGCCGCTTTAGCTGGACGTTCCTTTTTTACGCACTTCTAACTCCCGATTTGGCCCTTTCATTATTGATTATTAGGAGATATGCAACGTCATCTGGAGGGAAATAATTTAACACTGAAATTGAGATAAAATCTGGACTCAAAAAATACTTTGAGTCGCAGCCAGCTGGCTTTTGAAATGGTATCCACAAGTTGCCTGAATGTTGTCAACATGTCATGGACCGCGACGGTATACTGTCAACCTTGGATAATTCTTGCTTTTGTGTTATTCACGAATCAAAAAATGGACAGTTACTTACCTTCCAACCTAATACTTATGTTACGCTTGCAGAAGCCGATTTTTAAGCTTTTGTTCCGGCATCCGGTCAGTTTTATGAATAAAATTACCAAAATCATATTCCTGGGGTAATTTTGGATGCTGATCACGATTCTGCTTTTAGATTTTCCAAAAATTGCGATTCAAAAAAATTTTAGCTAGATTTTGGGGTGGTCCTATACTTATGTTACGCACTGTAAGAGCTCAAAGTTGATGGTTTGGGTGACCTTCTTTTAGAATGCTAACGATAGGTTGTTGAACGACTGCTTAATGACATTCGAAGTACTCCGACTAGTCCACAGGTAAAATGCGAACGGATCCGTTACGGACACTCAGCGTTCGCGCGCGGTTGAAATAGGAACCGCATACGGACCGCACGCGACCCGTTTTCAGAAAACCACATCACATTATTCCGTATTCCTCCGTATTCTGTCCGTTTGTTTTTAAAATATGAGTTTGTTTTTAAAATATGGCATTATAAAAGATTCTGAGAATCTGAGCATTTTCGGCAGGTCCCCTTTATCTGTGCAGGACTCTCACACCATGAAACTAATGATGACGATCTTATATTTTCTGAATTTTTTCCGGTAAATATTAAAATCTCAACTTTAAAAATAATACCCTTTTTCATAAATTCGTAGATTTGCCTCCGTTTATTTAAAAACGTACACCATATAAGCCCGAATTTCTCATCAATCACCATCTCCCTAAACTTCGTCCGATTCATACTAACTCCATTCCTACACATGTACTTTTAATCTCGATTCGCAAAGTTTTAGTAGTGTTTGTAATCGTATTCTTTTTTCCGAAAGAAGATTTACCCAAAATAAAAAAAGAGGAAGGGTAAGAAAAATTACTACTACTCGTCTTAAGTGGTCAAAGGATGAAAAGAGTGTATAGGAGTAAAAAATGAGAAAGGAATGCAGAAAAAAAGGATTATAGAAGTTACCCAAGGGATTTTGAAAAACGAATGTTGCCATTTTTGTGTGAGCGAGGAAAAAAATGTTAGGAGAATGGGGTTACGATGGTGGGAAAAATTTGAAGTTGAGAAAAATAGAATTTTTGAGTCAAGAAATTTGGTTTACTGTTGGGCTGTTTTGTGTTATACAGGGTGGCGAACAATTACCCGGAATGATAAAAACGGGTATATCTTTAGACATAAGTATTTTGGAAGCATGAAAATTGGTTGAAGCGTAATTTTAAGCTTGATTTAAACCTACTGAAATTTTCGAAGTGATTCCTCAAGTCTTATGTTTGTTCAAAGATGAACGGCGTTAATTTCCTTGCACGCCGTTGTGACCCTGACAAGATGAAGTAACTCTGACAAGCGATAACTCAGCTCAAAGTTGATCTAATAATTTGAAACTTAGCCAGTTTATTGATGAATTATTTGAATTTTCGCATTCCAAATTTGAGCGCGGTACAACGCTTGACTCATACTTTATACAAGTACAAACTTTAGTTCGGTTAATTATGCGCCAATCTGTAAACTGGAATAATTCTGGTTTTTTGTCATCATGATCGTACAATCTTTATGATACCAGAATCCCGCCCAACATTAGAATTCGTGGAAATCGCGGGCAAAATCCGATGTCATTGACAACTCCGTAAATAGTAAAATCTGCGAATATGTAGCTTACCATAGTCTTTGTATTTGAAAATCATGTTTGTCTTTTTGTTCGAGGGCGCTCTTAAAATTTCGAATAATCGAAATGATTGTGTTTTTCAAGGTTTCTCCTAGACTACTTTCGGAGCATCAAACAACCATTCTAAGCCCAGTATTCTGTCTCGAACCTTTTTTCCTGTCTGATCAAGTACTGATCCGAATATTATGTTTGATCTTCTGAGCAAAGAGCACTACAACACAAGATAACAAGTTTGCACCGCATCCAAATCTATCAAATTCAAATCCTCCTCAGCATCTCCTTCTTTTATTTTCTCTCTTATATTCCCACTACTACTATTGTTCTTTGCCGCTGCTCTTTTTCTTTTTGGCGACATTCAAGAGGCGAAGAAGCAACGCCTTCTTTTTTCGTTTCCCTTGTCTTTTCTCCTGCGAGAAAATAAATTGATGGGTCGTCGTCGAGGCCTGTGCTGCTCTCCATTTTAGGCTCCTCCCCTTTCGAAACCCCTGGCTCTTCATTCAATAATTGGGCGTGCCCGCCCCATCTCTTTTCTCTTTCTTCTCTATTTGTTTCCTGAAAAGTGAAGAAAAACCAGTGTCTCCAGGAGTCCATCGGAATACCCTTTTTCGAATCCATGAGCATCATGCTCCCCTTACTATTGTTTATTTCAGCACCTTGGTGTGTCAACGGATTGTAAGTCTTCTTTTTTCTTGTTTAGTTTGAAAAATGTGGCATTCCTTAAACTTCTTCTGATCTTAACTTGATGCTTCCTACAAGTAAGGTTCATTAGCATTGAGTAATGACAGATGGAGAAGAAGACACCCCCTTCGATGTGAGAAAGAGCATAAGGAGGTTTCACAGGGGAGGTCCACTTCAGAAATCAAGAGGAGTGTAATGACTTCAGAAATAGGAAAATATGAAAGGTTTAGTGGGGTAAACACTTCTGGACATATTGAGGACTTCACACGAAGGCTGAGATTCATACGGTCCGGTAGGATGCATGTCGATGAGCATTTTAACTAGGACTTTCAGGAAAGAGAATTTTTGTATGAATCCATAAATGTGATGTTAGCTGTAAAATTATTCCAGACCGTTTTTAGGCTTTTTACCGGTAAAGTGTTGCTTTTTAAAAGTCTTTTCAATGTTTTTCAGAGGAAACGAGATATATAAGCTCAAATTTAGACACAGGTGATTCGCGAAAAATCCGTTACGGTCGCTCCGCGTTCGCAGTAGGTGAACGACTGGTACGTTTATTAAGAATTTACGGAATTGGAGTATTGCGTTGCGAGCTCGCAACAGCTTGGTGGGTTTATTGATGTTCAGAGTTGGCTGGCCGATAGTAACTTTTTTGATTATTAGAAAAAAATTGGAACCTACAAAATGTTTCGCCGACCGAATTTCCAAGAATTCTGTATTGTTATACAGTAACGAATAGATTCTTTGATGAATGCAACTTTCCACTTTTTGTATTATGTGTGAAACTAACAGGAAAATACTTTTACGACGTCCTTTGAGAGCTTGAGAAAAAAAGTTCAGCAATATCGTGTAAGTAAGTGCCTACATGGGTCAAACATTTTCAGACGAAGTTTTCAGCGTGCGGATGAGTACCGGAGCTATATATTCCTGCCCACTCCCAAAGGACATTTGAAAACGATTCTCCTGGTCGGTCCAGATTGCCCCAAACTTCTTACCTTGGAGGCAGCCAGTCGTTGGTGCTATCCTTGAAACCAAAGGGTTTCCTCAAATTTGTCGAACGTTCCGTCCAACTGAAATCCCAAATCGTTTTTGGCCTCAACTTTCTCC